TCTGATGATGACTAGATTAACCTAAAAAATATATAGCTATAATTTAAAGGGTATTCCTAGTTAAGTAAATCTGAGAAATTAATTCTAGTGATAAAATTTAAACTTTACTCTATAAATAATAGAAAAGACTTAAGTTAATACAGCTTAAATTGAGTTCCACAAATTACATAGTAATAACATGGCTAGTATAGTTAAAACCAATCGATATCAACGCTGTAGACAGGATAAAGTGAAAATATGAAACCTCTTTGGACAAATTCAAATGCAATTACGATCGGTTCCATCGAAAGTTAATGGATAAGTAGTGCACTATTTAAGAGAAAATCCATGCGGGATCAATAAATATTACTAGTACTTAAGTCTAAATCATATATTATACAACTTTAACGTCAACAATATTAAATGATTAATAATAGAACCGGACATTTTGTACTTCATTTGTATTTCATAGAGTATTCAATTAAAAGCAACAGTCTGAGTCTGAGTCTAAACTGCGTACTTGACATAAAAATATTTTCAATAAAGAAAAATTTTTAAACCGATAAAAAATGACTCTACCTTGTATTTTGAGCAGAAAAATTAGTACATCATAAATTATACCAAATAGTTAATAATGCCAAGAATATCTGACTCCAACTTAGTTAACGAGCAGGGATAATATTTTGACAAAGAAATCATGAAAATGCGGTACAGTGTGTAGTAATCTCAGGTGAATTAATTAAAACACAAAGCGGAAAAGTTCTAACAGTTGATAATCGATATGTAGCTTCATGCTTAATAAAAACGCTAAAAATATTAAGTACAGACATCAAAAATAGACATAACTAATAGTTATATGTAACAGGAAACATAACTATGGGTACATTATTCATATTAAATGTAAAACACACCCATAACTGAAGAAAAGCAGGAAAATCTCCAAACGCTTCTTTGATATAAGCATAATCCCCACCACTAGAGGTTATGGTAGTACCAAGTTCAGCATAACACAATGCGCCAAACAAAGAAATTATTCCACATATCGCCCAAACTATAATAGACAAGCCAACCTACAAAATAAATAATGATGACATACCGATTCAGACACATTTCCAAGTACACCTTTAGGACTGACAAATATTCCAGAACCAATAATCGTACCAATAATGATTGATATACCATTTATTAAACTTATTTGTCTTTTTAACTCAAGTTTTCCATTCGATTGGTTAGTAGAACTAGGCGCCGATATATCACGTTCAGCTTCCATTAAGAGGACCGATTAAGGTTGTAAAAGCCTATTTTGCAACAAAGCAGTTCTGGTTTATATATAATTTAAATTGTAAGGAGTGAAAATCCACACATGTAATCAGATAATAATGCAGGCTGACGAAATGCTCAAATACTTTTAAGTTACGCATCCTATAAGGTCACACCAAAAACCAAAATTCTAAGCAGTATAACAATATTAGTATTTAACTATATTATAATTTTTCTACGACATCGTATTTATACAAAATATATCTTAAATATTTACGCAAAGAAAATTAAATATCTTGCTCAATGCTGAATCTATGCATCCACCTAATATATTAAATGTGAGAAAATTGCTGCACATTTAAAAGAATAATTATTAGATGTCATATTAGTTATTGTAAATATTTTTATTTAAACTTAGATTTCCTTTTGCAAAAGGTAATTTTAGTTTTGGAAGACGAGTTTTATCCCTTAATTGGAGTACACTCCCATTTTCTTATTTTATTTTACTTTACAGATGATATTTGGCATTTCATTTCATACTAAAA